CCTGGCAAAGCATCGCCCAAAACTTGACAGTCCGCAACTGAAGAGCTCCTACAGAGAGGCGGATGGACAACTGCCCCGGTGCCTGTTCCTCAGCGCTCCCACTCACCCAGACGGCCCCTCCGTGGCCACCGTTTCAGTCGTCAGCTCCTTGGGACCGGCACTCTGCCCAGTTCCGTGCAAGTGATCCTGGCAAAGCATCGCCCAAAGTGCCCAGATAAAACAGCCCCTGCTTGGCACCCTCAAGGTCCCAGGTTCAATCCCCGGCATCCCCGTTTAAAAAGAAGCTCATGGGGAAAACCGTTCTCTCTCGGAGACCCTGGAGAGTGGCTGCTGGTCAGGGCAGACCACACCCAGGGCGACTCTGCATCTGGCACTCGCTCCACATGTTCTCATCACTGAGGAAAAGGTGCAGCTCAAAACCACATTCAGATATCCCGGGGGCAGTGCTGTACTGACTGCGAAGTCACCCCTGAACGGCCATAAACCTATGCAGAAGGTACCATAAAACCCGGTGATCAAAGAAAGTGAAAGCGGCATGCAGCGGAGAAGGTACCCTAAAACTCAATGAAAGAAAGTGAAAGCAGCAGGCAGCGTAGAGGGTACCAGAAAACCCGACGATCAAAGAAAGTGAAAACGGCATGCAGCAAGAAAAGTGAAATTGGCATGCAGTGTAGAGGGTACCATAAAACCCGATGATCAAAGAAAGTGAAAGTGGCATGCAGTGTAGAGGGTACCATAAAACCCGATGATCAAAAGAACGTGAAAGTGGCATGCAGTGTAGAGGGTACCATAAAACCTGACGATCAAAGAAAGTTAAAGCAGTATGCAGCGCAGAGGGTACCATAAGCCCGACGATTAAAGAAAGTGAAAGTGACATGCAGTGTAGAGGGCACCATAAAACCTGGTGACCAAAGAAAGTGAAAGCGGCATGCAGCGTAGAGGGTACCCTAAAACCCGATGATAAAAGAAAGTGAAAGCGGCATGCAGCGTAGAGGGTACCATAAGCCCGACAATCAAAGAAAAGTGAAATCGGCATGCAGTGTAGAGGGTACCATAAAACCCGACGATCAAAGAAAGTGAAAGCGGCATGCAGTGTAGATGGTACCCTAAAACCGAATGAAAGAAAGTGAAATCGGCATGCAGCGTAGAGGGTACCCTGAAACCCGATGATCAAAGAAAGTGAAAGCGGCATGCAGTGTAGAGGGTACCCTAAAACCCGACGATGAAAGACAAGTGAAAGTGTCATGCAATGCAGAGGGGAATTTCTGTTCCAAGGTGGGTTTGGTAGCACAATGGAGAGAGAGGGGAATTCAGACTTGCCCAGGCTGGATGGCCCTGGGGACTGCCTCGGTATCAGGCGGCTCCATATGCTGCTGCTCTAACCCAGAATACGGGAGGCAGGATTGTGCCTCCCCCCCCCACCGCCCCCGTGAGTTCCTCCACCTGCCGCCACGCCCCTCTCGCAAGTGGGGGAAAGGACAATGCCATGACATCATTTCCTCTCACACCCTTTTGCCCTCTGCAGAATACCCCCCACTTATCTCCACTTTCACTCTGGGCAGGTAAATATTTATCTGCCAGCACTCATATTACACGGCAGAGGTCAAAGTCTCACTGGCTCTTCAAAGAAGTCGGACGGGTGTCCCCAAAGAGGCTCGGGTGATGTGCGGCAGGCAGGCGGGACCTCAAGAGGAACCAAAGAACCGCTAGACCGGAATCCGGTAGCAATGGCCAACAAGTTTTTTTTGGGGGGGGGGGGTAAGCTTTCAAGAGGACCGCGGTGCTCAGAGGTTGAGATGCTGAGATGCAGACCGGAAGGTCGGTAGCTCAACAGTTCGAGACCCAAGTGTGCCGCGTGACGGAGTGAGCTCCCGTCTCTGGCCCCAGGTCCTGCCAACCTAGCAGTTCAAAAGCAGGAACTTGCAAGTAGATAAATAGGTGCCGCTTTGTTGGGAAGGTAACAGCATTCCATGCACCTCGGCATCTAGTTATGCCGGCCACATGACCACGGAAAACATCTTCGGACAGCGCTGGCTCTTCGGCTTGGAAACAGAGATGAGCACCGCATCCCTAGAGTCGGATTCGACTGGTTTCCGAGCAAGGGAAGCCTTGACCTTGAAGCTTTCAAGAGGCCGAGCTCCCTTCGTCAGATACAAGTCGGAATGGAGACCTCCGAGTCTTTCTATCCCAGTCAGAAGGCGGGAGGGGAAGTTCCCAGAGAAGGAACTCGGAATGCAAAGGTACAATGCAAATTTTAATCCGCTCGATGAGAACAGAGGAAAAATCCCCTGATCACCTGAGTAGATTCTGCCTTGAGACTGGGGGGTGGGGGGTGGGGAGAACTGCCAGAGAGAAACTGGCCTGAGGTCGCTGACTAAGACAAGCGTCCAACCAGAGACTTCCTTCCCCTTCCCCACCTGCCGCACAGGCTCTCACGACAGCCAGCACAACGGAGAGGAAGAGGAGAAGCGAGCCCGCCTCCAAAGGACCCCGGAGACACAGAAGCAAAACAGCTGCCAGTTGCACACAGCACGTCTGTGGCCGTCTTGTGGTTGGGAGTTCCGCCTGCCCTGCAGCCAGCCACTCAAGACAGTAGGTTTTAAAGAGCATCACGGCAAAAAAGAGAACTCTCAGGCTGCTTTTGTACAGCTGAAGCAAAAGCCCTCTCCCCCCCCCCACCCCCGGGACTCTGCACTTAACGTCGAAGTCAGGGGTCCCCAACGTGGCGCCCACCCACACCTTCCCTGGTGCCTGCCAAGTACTTTCAGAAAGTGGTTAGGTTTCTGCCCGGCAGGGTTTTCTGGTTGGCTGTGCAGATCAAAAGGCGTCCTGCCTCAAATGTTGAAGAGTTAACCAGGAGAGTTCCAGATGACCTCGCTCCCTGACATCTTGTGGCTGGCCCCGCCTCCTGCAGCAGCCATTTTGTGACTGTGTCCATTGCCCCGTGTCAGAAGGCCAAAGGTGCACGCAGGCGCGGAAAGGTTTCCAGTGTTCCCTCTAAGCTGAGTTCGTGTGAGCTAGCTCACAGTTTTTTAGCCTCCGGCTCACAGGTTTTTGCCTTAGCTCAGGAAGGAGGGCTCCAGAGCAAACTAATTCATGCAGTAGCCAAAATCACTCACTCACAACTTTCATGCCAGTAGCTCACAAAGCGGAATGTTTACTCGCAAGACTCCACAGCTTAGAGGGAGGCATTGCAGTAAGTCTTCGCCAGAAGCATCAAAAGAGAGAAAGGCTTATCTGCCCAGAGGGGCTGCGTAGTGTTCCCGGGCGACTGTTGTGCCTGCGGAATGGTGAGATGAAGGAAGCGCCTAACATCCGCTCGCGCTCAGACCCGCTTCTTTCATGCTCAGATGTGTCTTCTCAAGGAGCCGCTCTGCCTACCAGGAACGTCTTGTCAACTCCTTGTGGTGCTGTAGCCAGCACCCAAGAAAAACCTTCTTAACAGATTTCAAGTCGGGATAAAGCCAGCCACTGCTTGCCTGGGCACACTCCGCAATCCGACACAGCAGGTAAAGAGGGGCCGTGGTGGAGGCCGCGGGGCGGGCGGGCCTGCCAGTTCCAGCCAGAATCTGCGTGTGTGAACGAGGGCACGGATGTCGTTTCCACGCAGTCACCGCGTCGTTCAGTGGGGCCGGTTCACACATTCCGGAGCAAACCACAGAGCACTAAGAAGTCACGCGGCGTAGATGCCTGTGCTGCTGACTCCTCCTGGGGCTGGTAGTCGGCCGGCCAGTTTGGTGTCGTGGTGAAGTGCGCGGACTCTAATCTGGGAGAACCGGGTTTGATTCCCCATGGCTCCACTTGCACCTGCTGGTGTGACCTTGGGTCAGTCACAAGCTCTGGCATAGCTGTCCTTGAAAAAGAGCCGTTTCTGCCAAGAGCTCTCTCAGCCCCGCCTACCTCACAGGGTGTCTGTTGTGGGGAGGGGAAGGGAAAGGAGTTTGTAAGCCGCTCTGAGACTCCAAGTGAAGGGCGGGGTACAAATCCAATCTCTTCTCTTCTTCTTCTCCAGCATGGCCAGCGTGGTCAGGAATAATGCTCCCTCTAAGCTATAGAGCCCTGTGAGCAAAAATTCTACTTTGTGAGCTCTTGGCATGAAAGTTGTGAGCAGGTGATTTGGCTATTGCATAAATTAGTTTGCTCTGGAGCCCTAAGACAAAAATGTGTGAGCCGGAGGCTAAAAAACTGTGAGCTAACTCGCACTAACTCAACTTAGAGGGAACACTGGTCAGGACTATGCTTCCCAGGGTGCATCGGGCCAGAGGAGGCGTCGAGAGTCCCAGGAAGAGGCGCAGGTGTGTTTGTTGGTTCTGTGATGAGAGGGAGGGAGAAGGTGGTGGTGGCGGCGCGACTTTGCTGAACTTTCTAATACCAATACCAAAATTAACATAAATAATTAAAACATCGACTTGTAGGGCGCGGCTGTTTCATGAGGGGGTGTGGCCCCGAAATGCCCCACAGTAGCTACGTTCCCGCCTGTGCAGGGCGGCCCACAGAGCCTGCAAATAAATCCGCAGAGAAAGCTTGCCAAACACGCAGGGTGAGTTAACTCTGACACTCTATATACTTACAACCAGTGCTCCCTCTAAGCTGTGGCGCCTTGTGAGCGAGAATTCTACTTTGTGAGCTACTGGCATTAAAGTTGTGTGAGCGAGTGATCTGGCTGCTGCATAAATTAGTTTGCTCTGGAGCCATCCTTCCTGAGCTAAGGCAAAAATGTGTGAGCCGGAGGCTTAAAAAACTGTGAGCCAGCTCACACTCACTCAGCTTAGAGGGAACACTGCTTACGACTGTAGAGCCCATCAGTTTGTGCCACCTTCGAAGACCAAAACCGGCAAGATGCGTCTGACCATGGCATACAAATAAGGCTTGCTCACGTGTTAGAAATGCATGGTTAGAATGCTTGTGGTCGTGACATCACAGCAGGCCAGCCAATGGCTGCAGGTGACCGGTTATGTATATAAGAAGCAATCCTTCCCCCTCTGAGGGGCAGCACTCACCTTCCGAGCTCTTCTCCGATTTCATAGACGTCTTCGACCTTCTGCTGCTTAAACACAGCCATGCCTGGACTCTTCATTGAGGTGCGCCGGTAATTCGGCTGGAAAATTAAAACAGAAAATAAACGTCAGCGTGCTGGGGACAAAAATACGCCGATCCTCCCTTTTGGCCACAAGCAAGCACAAACGGCACCGGTGCTCTCTCCCTTGTCACAGAACATGCCTTCAACTGACCCAGACCGAGGGTCCAGCAAGGTCCGGACCGTCAGTGGCCAGAGGGAGGCGAGTCTTGGCTCACGAAGGACCAGACAGCCTAGGAAAAAGAAACTCTCGAGGGCAACGTGCAGAGAGCAAGACGAGGGGCTCATCCGTGGGGAAGGCCTTGTCCCGGCATGTCATGAGAATGCCGTTCACACACCCCTTGAGGCATTTGGCTAGGGCATCCTCACCATGCAAGGTGTGTGGCTTCAGACAAAGATGAGCAGGGAGCGCACCTGGGAAGGGGACTAGGAGGACTGGGAGAAGGAGGGGAAAAAGAAGAGGAGGAGGAGGAGGAGATTGGATCGATACCCTGTCCTTCACTACCCAAAGGTGTCTCAGAGTGCTTTACAAACTCCTTTGCCTTCCCCTCCCCACAGCAGACAAATACCCTGTGAGGTCGGTGGGGCTGAGAGAGCTCTTGACAGAAACGGCTCTTTTTCAAGGACAGCTCTTATCAGAACTATGGCTTGCCCAAGGTCATCCAGCCAGGTGCAAGTGGAGGAGGAGGAGTGGGGAATCAAACCCGGTTCTCCCAGATTAGAGTCCGTGCACTTAAGAAGAAGAAAAGAAGAGATTGGATTTATACCCCATGGCCCTTCACTACTCGATGGAGTCTCAGAGCGGCTTACAATCTCCTTTCCCTCCCCCTCCCCACAACAGACACCCTGTGAGGTGGGTGGGGCTGAGAGAGCTCTTGACAGAAACGGCTCTTTTTCAAGGACAGCTCTGATCAGAACTACGGCTTGCCCAAGGTCATCCAGCCAGGTGCAAGTGGAGGAGTGGGGAATCAAACCCGGTTCTCCCAGATTAGAGTCCGTGCACTTAAGAAGAAGAAAGAAGAGATTGGATTTATACCCCATAGCCCTTCACTACCCGATGGAGTCTCAGAGCGGCTTACAATCTCCTTTCCCTTCCCCTCCCCACAACAGACACCCTGTGAGGTCGGTGGGGCTAAGAGAGCTCTGACAGAAACTGCTCTTTTTCAAGAACAGCTCTTATCAGAACTACGGCTTGCCCAAGGTCATCCAGCCAGGTGCAAGTGGAGGAGGAGCGGGGAATCAAGCCCGGTTCTCCCAGACTGGAGTCCGCGCACTTAACCACGACACCAAACTGGCTCTCTGGAAGAGGGTAGTGAAAAATCTGAGAAAATGGCCACCAGTTCTCCTGGAGAAGTTCCCTTCCAGAGGGGGCTCTACGGCGGAGGCAGAAAGACCCCCTCCTTCTACCATGGCTGGTGGTTTTGTAAACTGATAGGTAAATTTTGGACACAGATTCAAAACCAAATCCATATAATCACTGGTCATTTGATTCCCCTAACCCCGGGATCGATTCTTCTCACTCTGTGGGAAAACGGCAAAATCTCCAAAGCAAAACAAGAACTAATTATATGATAATGTTAATCGCGGCTAAATGTCTTATTGCATCTCTTTGGAAGTCTGCATCAATTCCATCGCTGCAAGAATGGCGCTTGAAGTTACGGGACTTGTTTATCCTGAATAAGATTACATACAATTTGGATAATTTTAGAGGTACCTCAGGCGACTCCAGTCTCCTAGAGAAATGGCAACCTCAAACGCTCAAGTGTTGGTCCGATCTCTCAAATGACTGCTATGCTTTAAGTAAAAAGCCAATTCTCTCTTCTCTGCTCATCTGAAGTCTAACACACTCTTCCACTGCTGGTGTAAATCTATGTTGTCCAACAAACCTTCTCAGCCCTGCATCTGTATTTCTAGCTTACTGCGATTAGTTCTTCATACTCAATTTTACTGATGGTTTGTACCCGTATCATGCTGTTCAATATTTCAGTTGTGTATACTTTGATGATTGTACTCGGTTCTGTTGGAAAATTGCAATATCATATGTAGTGGTTAAGTGCGTGGTGTAGTATTTAAATGTGCGGACTCTAATCTGGGAAAACCGGGTTTGATTCCCAACTCCTCCACATGCAGCTGCTGGATGACCTTGGGCAAGCCATGGTCCTGTCAGAGCTGTTCTTGAAAAAGGGCAGTTCTTGAAAGAGCTCTCTCAGCCCCATCTACCTCACAGGGTGTTTGTGGTGGGTAGGGGAAGGGGAAAGGAGTTTGTAAGCCACTCTGAGACTCCTTTGGGTAGTGAAGGGCGGGGTATAAATCCAATCCCTTCTTCTTCTTCTTCTTAAATAAAATAGCTATATTAAAAAAAAAGCTGATGCAGAAAGAAAGAAAGAAAGAAAGAAAGAAAGAAAGAAAGAAAGAAAGAAAGAAAGAAAGAAAGAAAGAAAGAAAGAAACGATGACTTATTGATAAACGAAAACCAAAAGTCTAAATTGAAGGAATGGGTATTTAATAAGGATGGGCTTTTGAACCGACATGTGTTGGTAAGTTGTCGTACAGCCCCCTTGTATAAGATCTTTAAAAGAGATCATTGCAGGACTGTATATCTAGAGAAACTAACTACTCAATCCCCGATGACTTATTGATAAACGAAAACCAAAAGTCTAAATTGAAGGAATGGGTATTTAATAAGGATGGGCTTTTGAACCGACATGTGTTGGTAAGTTGTCGTACAGCCCCCTTGTATAAGATCTTTAAAAGAGATCATTGCAGGACTGTATATCTAGAGAAACTAACTACTCTGGAGCTGAGAAGGGCTTTTACTGCCCTAAGGTTCCACGTCATACCCTCAATGGTTTGTATTGGCCGCTTTCAGGGTGTCCCTGCCGCCTCCAGAATATGCCTCTGTGGTATGGGTGAAGTGGATGATGTCGTGCATTACATTCTGAGATGTTCATGGCATGAACCACTTAGGCAAAGGTTTGTTTATCCTATTGTACCTCTGTATAATGGAATTTCAGAGCAGGATTTGACCGTTTTCTTGCTCTCTGATATTGATGCACATGTTACTAGCAGAATGGCTTTGTTTGCACTGGCGGCGAAAAAGATAAGACTGGGTCTAGGACTTACTGTAAGTTACTGATGTATACTGTTGGTTGTGCTTTGATTTATTTTGTGTTGTTATGGCCAATGGCTAAGACAATAAACTAAACTTGAGACTTGAAAGAAAGAAAGAAAGAAAGAAAGAAAGAAAGAAAGAAAGAAAGAAAGAAAGAAAGAAAGAAAGAAAGAAAGAAAGAAAACCTCCTTGGCAGTGTTCCCTCTAAGCTGAGCTAGTGCGAGCTAGCTCACAGTTTTTTAGCCTCCGGCTCACACATTTTTGCCTTTGCTCAGGAAGGGATGGCTCCAGAGCAAACTAATTTATGCCGTAGCCAAATCGCTCGCTCACAACTTTAATGCCAGGAGCTCACAAAGTAGAATTTTTGCTCATAGGATTCCACAGCTTAGAGAGAGCACTGTCTTTGGGTGCCTGCAAAGAACCAAACCCAGAAAGGAAAAGCAAAGAACATTGATTTCACACTTAGGGTGTGGAGTTCTAAACCCCTCTAAGCTGACGGTGGCCGCCAGTGACACCCACAAGACAAGCAGTGACTCCGTCCTTTCGCTGCACCTGTCCCATGAGGGAATTCTCTTCTCTTGGAAGAGCGAAGAGAGAGTTTTCTGGTCAGGCTGGCTTCGGGTGGCCAGGGTGAGGTTTTTGTATGGTTGTGAAGTTTTTGCAGGCCCGATTGAGGACGGAGTGCGTGTATGCGTATTTGTGTGCGCGCACACACACACACAAGATGAGTGGCCCATGAGAAAAGTGGAATACAAATGAAATAAATAAGAAACTGTAGGGACAGAAGACGCCTCCACCGAACATTCCTGGGCTGTTTGGGACTGGCTGTCTGGTACTTAAGTAAAGGTAAAGGTTCCCCTTGCTCGAAAGCCACTCGAATCCGACTCTAGGGGGGGCGGTGCTCATCTCCGTTTCCCAGCCGAAGAGCCAGCGCTGTCCGAAGACTTCTCCGTGGTCACGTGGTCGGCATGACTAGACACCGAGGCACACGGAACGCTTGGTACAGCACAAAACAGTCTTGATAGGACTGCCGGCTCCAGGTTGGGAAATACCTGGGGATTTGGGGGGTGGAGCATGAAGGGGTTTAGGGAAGGGGGACTTCAGTGAGGCTCAATGCCAAAGAGCCCACCTTCCAAAGTGGCTGTTTCCTCCGGGGGTGTGTGTGTGATCTCTGTCGTCCGGAGATCAGTTGTAATCCCGGGAGATCTCCAGGCCCTGCCTGGAGGCTGGCAACCCCAAGTCCTGAAGGCTAGCATCTCCTCTGCAAGTGAACTCAAACCCAGAGTCCCACGCTGGCATCGAGAGCAGAAGGAACCAAGGAAGGGTGGACCTGCTGGCGTCACGAGCGGTAGGGCTCCCGACCCGTGATCCGCAGCACCATTCCCAGAGAATGCGGCCAAGCCAAAAACGCCTCCGCAGGGGACACACAATCAGGGGAGAAATCCAGGTTCAGTTCCCAGGAGCACAGCGCCACTGGGTCGGGCCCAATCCACTTCCTTTCCCAAGGACTTTGCAACCTCCTATCTAACCCTCAAGAGAAAGCTGCATTTCCCTCGGCTATTACAGGCCACGGCCAGCCAGCGGTATGGCTTCCTCCCCAAAACACTAAGATTTGGGAAATATTAGCTCAATCTATTCCTTGTGTAAACAATATATCCCCTGCCCCCGTCTACGGGGCCTTTCCCGGCCGGCTCTTGGCGGAACTCAAATCACAGCCATGAAAATCTTGTAAACAACATGGCACAGACACAAAAAATGTTCTCAGATACCATCAGAAACGCTGCAAATCGGTTAGATAATAAAACGGGAGTAAATCCCTGGGGCCATTTAGCGGTGCGATCCCCGTGCAGGGTAATCCCAGTTTAAACCTAATTAACTCAATGAGTTTAGACCGGAGTAACCACGCACA